GGGCAACATTACACCGAGAAAACAAAACTCATTCAACATTTCTCCACTCGTTTGATACTCGAATGAATGCAATATATATCCATATAAATCGACCAGTTATAGGGCAGTCTTGTAATTTTCGCTGAATACTGCATTTCAGACTCATGACACGGTGTATGTGTTTTCATGGTAAAGTGTGGACATAGTAAATAATCAAATTGTCATCAAACATATGAAATGTCGATACCGATGCCCAAGAACACATGTTCGTCGTTGTAGCTAGTAAAATTAGTAATATGATTGTAAGAGGAGTGACGACAAATTGGCGTCAAATATATTGAATTATTGAAGTATTGTTGTAAACATGTGATTGGCGAAATACGTAAATTTAACGGACATTTGTTGCGTAAAGCTGATTGCCATCGCAGAAAAAATGTCACGCAAGTTTTTTACTCCACGGAGTCATAATGATGGTGACCATGCTCTTTACAATTAAGCCTTTTGTAATAATTGGAAAAGGCTGAGTGTTTTTCGGTTCATGTGTCAGCTAGCATTCCTTTGTATGTACATTCTTTGAAATTGAGTACACATAATATATGCTTTATTTATGAGCAACTGTAATACAGAAAATACGGACAACAGTTAGTCATATATGCCGAGTTTTAATACATTATAGCAATACATTATATTACTATTTTACATGTTCAAGTTCACGTGAATTCAATTTATAGAGTTTAATTCATCAGCAAAATTAAAATGCAGTGAATAAATATGCGTTTACATCACGTAGAATGTAGAACTCGAAGACTACTAGGAAGCTTGTAACATGCGGTCATGTCATAATACGATATATAACAAAACATATTCGGCAATCGTTGTCCAAAGCAACTAGTAAAAATAGACGTTTAGTGGACCTCAATAAAACGGGCTTCTTTAAAAGCAAATACAATTTCAGTCTTTTGGGGCGTAAACTGATAACCAAAAACTCATGAAACTGTTGTAAATTACGTAAAAGTACGTTTACACGATGAGATCCTATCCCACAATGTCTAGACTATATGTATGATTTAGAGAGTTTAAACTTTTCCCATCAAACTAACGCGGAGACGCAAATGTCATCAATGGCTGGCGGGCCTTGACAAATTGGTCATGCGGGAAGCGACAGGATGGCAAGATTCGGAAATTAAATATTTGTCGAAGCCAAATTAAAAACGTTTTCCAGACGAGGCAAAGCGGAATCAAATTGGTCTGTACACAAAGGAAATTGCTACTATGACAGGAAAGTTTCAGAATTCCGAGAAATCCTTTTCAGTCTGCGCAATTAATTCGTTTTACGCCCGTGCCTGGAGTGTTTGCCTCGCGTGGCGGTTGCGCTGATTGAGTCGTTATATATCAGACATCTATTCCGCTTTGTGATGTGTGGATCACGACAACATCCCACGCCATATCCGCGTTAATTGATTGGAGTGATCAAATGCCAGCGTGCAATCATCCAATGTCCCAACTATCTACTCTACACGCAGACAAGGGGTCAACAATGTAACTGAAGTGAAAACAAATATATCCATTAATATTTTAGAATAAAATGGATTGAAATTACACAACATTTTAGCAGTTATGCTCCAGTCTCTTGTTCAGTTTTTTTCTTTAGATTTTCAACGAAAGCTTGACTATAGGTAATATTTACACACTTGATGGAGAGTTCAAACACATCAGTCTGTTATGTGTGTGGTTTACTGTGTGTGCTAACTTTTCGTCGTGACAAAGTAGACAATACGACACGGAGTTATGTCATCGTCTGTGCAATCAGTAGTAATACTTTCATTGAACAGCAGTTTGTAAACAGTACCGACTTCGTATGTCTACGATGCTGTGATATGCAAAGCTTACGTGGGATTGTAAATACACGGTGTACATGCCAGTGGCGGATCCAGCAAAATGTATTTTTTGGGGGGGGGGGGTCCAAGCTACGCTTAAAATATACGGAGCGTAAATCGCAGAGAAGCTATGCGTAATCCAGATGATATGAATCGTCTTTGATTTGACCATGTAATCTGATCAACAGTTACGAGCCCATTTTAATTATAGGTCAAATGGTCTACAATGGGCATTTGCATGAGTGTAAAAACCGATTATTTGACTCCATTATACTTTCCGTGAGCCACATTTTATAGAAATGAAATTTTGATGGGTTTCTTTTTTTTTCTTTTACAGTCAACTACGACAGAGTCAGGGGAAGAAAGTGGTGACGGCGGCAACAATGCGACCACTGAAAACTACTACGAAAGATCGTGTTGGTTTGAAGTCGAAAAGAAGGTTAAGATAGAAGGGAATTGCGTCAAATTAGCCGGCTACTGGCCAGCATGCCGTGCCGGTGATATGATGTCCCCATGGACCGATCAGTGCGGTGCCATCAACGACGAGGAACGCGACAATTTCAAATTCCGGGGAAGAGGACGCGACGTAAACTAAAACAATATTATCTGTGCAGTTTTTTCCTGCTCATGCCTTCAAGTTGAAGTTCTTTTTTTTGTAACGCATTAAGATACCATATTATCCCGATCGCCCCTCCCACCCCCACCCCCGCGTTGACAATTTTATATCGAATACCTCCTTTAAAGACTACTGTAAAAGGATTAATTATTCACTGGGTTTTAATTTTGCTTATTTCGCTGACTGGAAAATAAGCCAAATTAAAACCCAGTGAATATGTAAAATTTAGCATGGAACACATTAACTAAATGATAAAACCGTGAATTAAAAACCCATTAAATATGCCTGAAATGCTAAATCAGCGAAATTTAAACCCAGTGAGAAATTAGTTATTTTACAGTACTAGAAAACTTTCTAACGTAAAGTAAAATAATCTGATGTTATTAGCGGCAATCTCAAAACAAAACTCTAGTTTGTTTGTTTGTTTTCGAATTAAAAATTTATCCGATTATGTAAATCAGTAAGAATGATTATTTACACGGACTGGACTTCTATTCCGATTGCGTCACGTGAGATGAATATATTAGAATGTCCGTAGATGGCATCATTCTCTGTTTTTTCCCTGTCGAGCAATGGCAGTATCGCTTAAATTTTGGCTACACGATTATTCCTTCAGTGAATTGAGAGTGTCAAAACATGCGTCATTAATCGTGTATTGCCCAGCCCAATTTTAAATGTGTATCTTTCTTTATAAGATATCGTGGCAGCACGACTTTAAGTTTCTATTTTATTACAAGCACGTCTCAGTAAAAACATACCAATACTATTTCCGATTAGTCTATGTATGTATGTATGTGTGTGTGTGTGTGTGTGTGTGTGTCCGTCTGTGTGAACTGTACTGACTGATTGAGTATATTTACTTGCGGACATCGCACAGTAAACCCAGGTACCGCGTGTGATTATTATTTACTAGTAGCAAAATCAAAAATTGGATGAAAACGGTTACTACTAGTGTTCATCGTCGCAAACATATATCGTACCTTAAACATTTCGTACGTTAATTAACCATGCTGACTCCTACACCCCTCCCCGATTATAAAATACTAAGTACTTTTTTTTGTTTTGTTTTCTCGCGAAGACAAGAAGATGCATATGCGTTGAGCGATTTCTAAAGCCTCACAACGAAGTTACGATGAATGTAGATTTATGTATATAAAATCAAGAAATGAAGTGGCTCAGGATGGTTCATTTGAAAATCTCCTCTCTGGCTCTAACAGTTAGAATCTAGGTCTGGGCTAAGCGGTGTGTAAAAAGACAAGTTTGTGTTGAAAGGAGGTATAATTAGCCGTCCTGAAAGACTGCCCGGCTGAGTTATAAATGTGATGGACAACAAAGTAATAGAATCAACCCGATTTTCATCTTTTATCATGTTCGTACTTGGTAATTTAGATCTACAAATACACCAAGTTCCTAGACATGTTTTTTAAATATTTCTCCATTTTCCGCGATTTAACCATTTTAATCGCACAATTGACTTTGTATAACAAAATGTCATTGCCTAGAACCGTGGGAATGTTTGGTGGTAGAGGCTCCTCTCAGTGACTGCATTATAAACACGAAATGTGACATCTGGTTACTCGATGCAGCAACTTATATGGTAACTCCTGCAATATACGGAGGAAAATTGTCTGAATTAATTGTCATGTTGAAAGCAGTCGTGGAAATAAAAGAAACACAAAATAAAGTACGTAGGAATAAAGATAAATAAAAACATGATAGTGGCCAATCTGCCTTGAACAGTTTATCTAAGAAGCCTAAAAACAGTGAAAACTGAGAAAACGAAAACTCAGAAGGAAGGGGTATTCCAGCACTGTGAAATGAACAAGTCCGAAAGAGGGGGGGGGGGCTCAGGCGGATTTTAAAAATCAACATAAATATTTATCGATATAAAATATATTATTACGCTATGCCAATCAAGTGTAACAGAGAGAATTCAAAATATATAACGAAATGAACAAACAACAAAGAAACACATGAAACGTCCCACAGTATTCAGATGTCGATGCCAGCACAAAGTTTTGACAACTATGTTGTTAAATAGTATTCATATTTGAAGTACCGTAAAATGACTAATTTTCACTGGGTTTAAATTTCGCTGATTTAAACATTTCAGGCATATTCAGCGGGTTTTAAATTCACGGTTTGATCATTTAGATAATGTGTTCTATGCTAAATTTTATATATTCACTTGGTTTTTAATTTAGCG